AGGCCAGCCAAGGATACATAGTGTGTTCAGAGTCAGCCTGCATACATAGCAAGACCCTGTCTCAAAAAAAAAAAAAAAAAAAAGATCCTACCTGCTAAAATGGTTTCTATCTCTCCAACAGAGCCATAGTACATGGAGATATAAAGCACATCTGATATTCAACTTTCATCGTTACAAGGAGTAATAAAGCAATCAGAAAAACAAGTATCTAAAAGATCCCTATAGGCAGACGATGAAGTAAAAATGAAAGACAACTGTATATCTACATAATGTACACTGATAGTAGCTGATGGTTATTAAAGCTTGGATTCGAAATGTCAACAAAACTCACATGGTAAAGGCTTGGGCACCAGATGATGAGTGGAGAAACGATTGGATTACGAGGGCTCTAACTCTGTGAGTGTAGTAATCCAGTGATGAGGTCATAATTTTCTGACATTACTGGGAAGTAATGGAGCCAGGGAAAGGGACTAGTTGCAAGGATTGGCCCGTGGGGTCATAAATTTGGGGGCTATTGCCAGGGATGCTCAGTGGTTCTGCTGCCTGCCTCATAAGCACAAGGTTCGGAGTTCAATCTCTGGTATTAGGAAAAAAAAAAAGTTTGGGGAGTACTATGTGGTCCCCAAGCCCTTCCTCTTGTTTTTGTTGTTTTTGTTGTTGTTGTTGTTGTTGTTGAGGCAGGGTCTCACTTTGTTGCTGAGACTGACCTGGAACTCACTATGTAGCCCAGGCTGGTCTCGAACTCACAGCAATCCTCCTGCCTCAGCCTCCCAAGTACTGGGATTACAGGCGTGCAGCACCATACCTGACCCCCAAGCCCTTCCTCTTAGATGCTCTACCCTTTCTCTATGCCTCCTGTTTCCAAGGAGGAGAGAAGCCTTCCTTTACTCTACCATTTTGCATGATGTTTCAGCCTTGCCTCAGGTGAGCCACCTAACCATGGGCTGGAACCTCTGAAACCATGAGCCAAATACATGTTTCCTACTTTCATTTGCTACGTCAGAGCCATCACACTGGCTAACAGACACTTCCACCTCAGTGGCATTTAATTATTATATTTAATGGATTATCATTTTTTCATATAAAGTCAGAGTTTCCATTAGATTTTTAAAATAGTATTTGATAGCACATAAAATGATGAACCATTTAAGGCTTTGGGGTTTTAAGGTTTTTGTGTCTAGAGTCACTTAGGGTTTTGGCAGTTTACAAATAAAATCAATTTCCAGTTAAAAAAATTATGAACTATTATACAATATAAAAAATTAAATATTAACATGATATTTGTGATACTATGTTAAATGTAATTGAGATAGAACTGATACATTGACTATGATCTTAACTATGTAAAAATGTGTACCAACAAAATATTAGAAGCAGTCCAAAATGGAAATAATGTTCTTTACTGAAGATGGAGTTATAAGTGACTTTATTATTTTTTTTTCTATAATTCCATTTTGCTTTCTAAAGTACATGTATGACTTTTGTAATTCCTAAAACAATGAGAACATGTGGACAAAATGGCATGCCCTGGACAGAAAGGTCACAAGTTCAAGTCCTTCCAGGGCAACTTAGTGAGTATCTTTCTCAAAATAAAACAAAATAAAGGGGCTGGGATATAGTTCAGTGGAAAGGCCCCCAATTTCAATCCATCACTTGTACTATAAAAAGAAACCACAAAAATAGTCTCCTTAGATCCCCTCTGGTAGTTTTATAAATCTGAGCTACTCAAAGACACACAATGGAGAACCAGAGAGAGGTAGAGTTTGCCAATGTAAAATATACAGAAAAGTACAAAGTGTGGGGCTTTCCTAAGGCCACAGGAATAATGACCGGAAGCCGGGTTGTAAGATTTCAAGTTAGCCTTTACTATTTCTAATAACCTGTAAGTCCTTTGTTGTCACTACTAGTCCTTCACTGTTACCTTTCATTTAATCATTAAGCATCACAAACTTAGTTTAGCAATATTATTATACACTTGATTTATTTTCTTATTTTAGTTTGGCTACTGATGAGAAAACAACTCAAGCTTTATTAATAAAAGAACAATGTGTGCAAAGCTCATTGAAATAGACAGAACTGAATCTTATTAGCCTGATACTAGATGTGATATGTTGGAGAAATTACTAAACTTCACTGTCTTATACTCGTTATGATTAATATTTAGACTGTGAGAAAAAATTTTCTCTATTAAAATATCTAGAAAAATATATATTGTAATATATATTTTAACCATATATATGTATAAAATATTCACTATATAAATGTGTAATTATAAATAACAGCATACATTTTTACAATATAACAAATGCATCTGTATATAATAGATATTAAACAGTTTAAATATCTATTATATATCTACATATATTAAGTATTTAGCAGATCATTTGGCTACAGTAAATGTATAAAAATTTCAATATTTTATTCTATAAAATAATATTGTACAGGGCCGGGGTTATTGTTCAAAAGTATAGTTCTTTTCTAGTACATATGAGGCCCTGACTTCAATCCCCAGGACTGAAAAAAACACACACCGAAAAACCACCACAAAAGTATTAATGTTATACATTATCTGAAACATAATTTCTAAACTTTAGTAATGATCATTTTTGATAGACTTCAACACTCCTAGACTACTAATTTCCTCATATTTAACAACAGCTGATAATTAGAAGAAAAAAATGTGAATTTAACTGAGACAGTCAAAACTCAGATACATTACAATATTGTTATTCTACTATAAATTGGGTCAATTAATTCTGAAACCCACTTATGCCATAAGGCTGGGTTACTGCTACCATAGATGCAAGGTCTCTAAGGGCATGATTTAATACAATTTTTATTAAAGTACAAATCAGTGACACATTTTACATTACATTGTATTTTGGATACTTCCAGAAAATGGTTATAAAAGCTACATTAGTATTAGAGGTTTGGAAGGAAAAAGACTCTAAGGTGTATGGTTTTAAATATCAAGTGCACCTAAAATATACTATGTGTAGTTGAGCTATGGTAAAACTCAGAAAGCCTACAATCTCCTTTCCTGAAAAAACAAAAATCTTAAATAATTTACCTTAAAACATCTTAGCACTCATGACAAGACTTTACAATTCTAACCTTTGTATGAACTGAAGCCATGATTTCTAAGAGAACTTCACAAATATAACTATAGAAAATTGTTCCTAATATGAAGTTAATTCAACATTCTATCAATTTTCCTTTAAGCTAATAGAGAAAAACTAGCATTAGAATTCTTTTTCTAATAAGATCTTTATTTTGCTGGCATATTTGGCAATAATATCTTTGCTTGACTACAGATCCATTTAAAACAAGTTATGGAAAATTTGAGCACTGTTGTCAAGTGTAAATGTGAACTGTCTTCTAAATACTATAAAACATTCTCCAAAGATAATGCTACACTTTGCCACATGCAATACATTTTTAAAAAGAATTGTCAACAGTAGCATAATATATATTAAGAGAAAAACAAGTGAAAAATTTGTAAACACACGTAGCTATTATAAACATGAACTAATGTGAATAATGCACTTATGTAAAGAAACAAATAGATTATGAAATATTTTGAGAGGAAAAAAATATTGGGAAAGCTTATTGTATATGTTGACATGCATGTCTGTACACATGTTCTTCTTGGGTAAGATAATGAGGAAGATTCCTTTAAATCAATGAAACTGTATTTTTTAATTCTTTAAAATACTGTTTTCTCAGAAAGCTTGTCCATGAACAATGATCACTCAGCTATGAAAGATGAAAAAAAAATTGAATTTACATGGTATAGCAGCAATTTTATCAGAAACCTTATTAGGTAATTTTTTAAAGCCTTTAATAAAAAAAAAAAAAAACAGATTAGTTACTGCAAAATAAGGGTTATGAGACTCCTGAAGGCACCAAGTTGTCAGTGGAAAGATGTAACCCAGAAGGCCAGATCAGTCTCTGACAGCCAGGAAGCTATCAGAACTACACATGAACAAACTCAATTGGAGATAACAATATCCTATTTTCTGTGGTCTCACTGTTTTTATGCTTATACTAAGATGTTCCCTCAAAGCCTCATGGCTCAGAGGTGGGGCTGTGAGGAGTGACTGGATCATGGGTGTGGGATACTGGACTCACTTACTGAGAGGTTTAGTGTAGTTCTAGGTGTGGGTGATGGACTTACTGCCAGGTATGGATGGAACCAACCAATAGGTGTCCAGTCTGGATTGAATAAGAAGGAAAAGAAGAAGGAAGTCTTGCTGCTTTCTGCTCTCACACTATGGACTGTTTTTCTTCTTTGCAATGCTGCCCTACCTTGGAACTAGTTGACTATGGATTGAAACCTCTACAAACTGTGAACATTTATAAAATTATAGAGGGAATTCTGCATTTTTCCATGCATAGCATTAAGTAAGAATGCCTGTGTTAGTAACTCTCAAGCTCATTATTTATTTTGATCACAAGTTACAGAATATATTACTATTAATAAACTTTGTTAGGAAAACAGTAGCATTTCATGAGTCTGACTTACATTTACTCCAATGGAATATTCTACTTGATGACTAACAATGGAGCATGGCACAGTAGCCCCAAATAAGGCACATGAATAAATAGTTCACTTAATGCTAGTTTTGTGCTAGTAGTATGCTAGACAGATTTCTGTCTTAATGGAAAAATAAGGGACACGACACTTCAGGTAGCGAAGAGATTTTTCCCATTTCACAAATGTGTTAAGGCAAAATAAGAACACATAAGTCCTCCATAATGAATGTGACCATACTGATTGATCAAAGATAATATTAAGCCCCTTTTCTCTCTTCCCTGAAGTACTTTTGTGGGCACTCCTTTCATAGAAGCTTCACAAGCAAAATGCGCAAAGGTGATAAAAATACTTTCTTGGCAGACAACACTAATTAAATTATATAAAAGGAAAGAATCGGTGCTCTGAACAGCAAAGAGCACTCCTCAGATGCTACGTGTTATTAGTACTATCATAGCCCACTCACCTGAAGATGAAGGAAGCTGGTCATAATCCTGTGACGTTCTGTTGGATTTGACGGTTTCTCCTGGTAATCTCCTAGCAGGAGGCAAAGGAACTTGGCCACTTGCTGGGTCAAAAAAGGAATCTTAAAATGAAAGATAATTTTGAAATTAAAATGATTATATCTCTTGACTGACCTTTTTTACAAGGATTACAGCTTTCAAAAATAAATTAGAAAATGTAACTGATGACTGAGAGGAACCACCTTCTACTCAGCATGCATTTTTTTTTTAAACTAATTCACTTGCTCCATTGTGCCCTTCCCATTTATTTCTAAATTTTATGACTTTTTTTTTTATTTTATTGAGTTTATTGGTACATTTTAGGGATACAGTACAGTTACATTCATTGTTGGGATCATGTACCTTTACATGGCAAGTCTTGATTCTCATTTTTTCCCCTTACCTCTGCCCTCCCTTCACCCCCTCCTCCCCTCCCCATCTACAAACACTTTATTTTCATCTTTTCATTCTCTCACATTTTTTTCTTTTCCCTTTTTGTTCTTCCCCTACGCATCACACCTTCCCTACACCTTTAGCTCCTTTCTTCAAATTTCTAAATGTCAGTAATCTTATTAGAATCTTATGCATTGTTGCAGAATATTCACACCAGGGAATTTTATGACATTTTAAAATTCATACCCATTAGATTTCTTATTTAATAATAAAATTGTTGGTGATAAAAACGGCTTCTAAATTTTACTTTCTGTCCAATGAATGAAATTTATTCTTTGCAATGAATGAAAGGTGTCTGAAAGGAAAAGAGGAAAACAGTGGGTTTGAATTTTTTCTGTTAGAGTATTATCTAACCACTTAATCTCCCTAGGCATTAGGCAGACAAAAATCTGTAAGAGTGACCTGAAATTTGGGACTTGTAGGGATTAAGTTAATTCATGTATCTAAACATTTTCTGTACATATAAAATGCTTGTATTAATGGTAATACATTGGATATCCTATGCTAAGAATCAATTGTTTGCTGGTTCAATGAAGAATAAAGTCACTTGTTAAAAACTGCTCTAATAATAATATTTGATTATAAATGAAGATACAAGTTATATCACCTTGAGAATCAGGAATAGGATATCTGAAATTGTAAACAATACAAATTGTAGATAAGATTATTTTATCATTAATAATGTTTACTAACTGGCACTAAAGAGAAAAAATATTTTCAATGTTATTGCATTAAACCATGAGACTATAAACATGTGGTGTAACATTAGAATATGGGATAAAATCATTAGAGGTGACCCATTTTTTAGGTAGATAATTATGAGCTCTGAAATAACTGATTTACCAATAATTGATTTGGCTATCAATTCCACTTGGCATTCTTGTCTCAGGTTGCTTTGTCTTGTGAGCAGTACCTCCAGAGGGGCCCAGGTTCTGGGTGGAAATTTTGCCTCATACTGCTTAAATTGTCTCTCCTAACTCAAATGATGTACCTGCCACACTGCTTGGCAAACAGCTTCCACTTCAGAAATATTTTCTTTTCACTACTAAAAATAAATACACACCAATTCCAATTTTTCATCAACTGAAACTTGAATTGCTAACAAAAAACAAAGTTAACAATAGCTTTAATTTTATTAGTTTAACTTTTGAGTCTGATATTGAGTCTGAGAATTTAAGAAGAAAATGAATGCTTAAAATTCCCTACTACATACTAAGTTTTATGTAGCTAATTAAGGTAAAATTAACCATTAGTTATTATTATTTTACTCATTTGCCCTCTAGTAGTCATCACCAGCTTTGCCAGAGACTTGAGATGCAATACTATTTAACTTGCTTTCATTAATTTCAGCATTAAAATAATGCCAAGTTTGAGCTAGGGTTAGGGTCATGCTAAGTCACTAAGCAGCCCAGGTTGAACTTTAACTTGTCCTGACTCAGTCTTCCAGAGAGCTGAGATTACAGGCGTGCACCACTGTATTGTGGCCTAAGCGTTCAATATTTGAAGCTTTGATGGTTCAGCCACATCAATTTTGCTGAAGTATTTTAGGAAGGAATGAGGGCAAGTTAGATTCTATGCAACAAATGTCGATCTTTCATTTGTCAGAAGACCCAAATAGGTAGTTATTGCATAAATTTTTTAATATTCCAAAGCTTCAGTCAATAAAATATACTTTACATCCTTGTGTACCCTGAATGCCCCTGACATAACATTAAGTCAGAGGAAAGATTGTCTTTTTACAATGCATACAATTGTTCATTTCCTTAGGGATAATTTATAGGTATATCAGATAGACTTATGCTATTTCCAATTACCCATTAAGACTAAAAAGTAAAATCTGGGTACACTTCAGAGTAGTAAGGTGACACACTACAAACTACACATTGTACTATGCTGCTACATTAAGCTATTTCATTTAAAAAAGGCACTAGGTAAGGCCGGGCATGGTGGCGCATGTCTGTAGTCCCAGCATTCAGGAGGCTGAGGCAAGAGGATCTCTATGAGTTTGAGACCAGCCTGGGCTACATAGTGAGTTCCACGGCAGTCTGAACTACATAGTGAGATTCTGCCTCAAAAATAAAATGAAACAAAACAAAACAAAATGGCACTAGGTACACTAAAAATATTACTGTAAATGGCAGTAATACTTAAAGACTCTCTTCTGAGTCACTAGCATTTTCTGGCTTGCTATTGGTTAGGGTTGGGTAAGCCTGGTTCCCTGTCTGCAGTTTTATATAGTTGGAAGAATCTGTGTTCCGAAAAGAAAAACATACAACACAATTGCCACACACAGTCTTAATGTCCTCTAAGGGAAATTTGGAAAGCAATAAAGCTCGCAGAGGTAAGGGGAAAAAATGAGAATCAAGACGTCATGTAGAGGTACAAGATCCCAACAATGAATGTAACTGTACTGTATCCCTAAAATGTACCAATAAACTCAATTAAAGCTGAAAAAAAAAAGACAAATTAAATTACACGAGATTAAAATTTAACATCTGAATTTAGGATTCAAATATACAAATTAAAAATACTGTGGCCTGAAACACTTCTAAATTTTTACTCAAGTATAAAATAAGAGATGAATAAGTCAAACAGTTAAAACAATGGCACATTCTATTGTGGCTATTTATAATTTGCAAGATATTAAAAGAGTACACCAATGTAGAATGTAATAATTACCGGAAGGGGTTTGAAAAGCTATTTAGGTAACAAAAAGTTCTGTTTCTTCTGTCCTCACACTTTAACTCACCTTCATAAAATCACCAATATGCAAACACATAGCCATGGACTGGAATCCTTAGTACCTCAGGACTCACTACCCAAGGCAGATTTTTTTTTTTTTTTTTTAAAGACAGCATCTTGATATGCAGTTCAGATAGTCCAGGTCAGCCTTGAACTTGTAGCAATCCTCCTGCCTCAACTTCCATAGTTATTTCTACCTTCTGAGATGATATGAAAAAAATATAATCTGTCTTTCATATAGTATAACTGCAGAAAATTCTAATATGTACATTAGGTTGTTAAACCCAGTAATTTTAACCCATTGCAGTTTTCTAAGGGTGGTATGAATTTTCTTCGCAATCCTAGCTGTACATCTTTGGGAAAATCTTAGCCCAGCATGTCTACAATATAAGCATCAACAGAATAGGGCAGCAGGGTTGTGAAAACTCCTGTTGCTGGATGTTAATCTCTTAAGTTTCTGATTTAAGGCCCAGAATTTTCATATTAAATAAGATCCCTCAGAGAAGTTGACACTGCCCATCTGGAGACTACAGTTTCAGACTCACTGCACCAGCCTTTTACTCCTTTGACATCTGCACACAGCAGTCTACACACAGGATGAGAAGCATTACTCCCTGATTTCAATTCTGTGGGTGCAACCCTCAAGTGGCAGGAGCTCCCTGAGTGGCTACACTCAACAGTGCTTCAGAAAGGCTGGAGTCAACAAAACCCCTAAATCCTTTCCAATAACTGTTGCTAATGACCTGGCTTTTCTCTGCTCTACTTATATAATTGCATTTTGGGATTCAACTAGAAAAGCTTTCATTTATCTTTAATGAAGTCAATTTTGCCAACTGTAACAGTTGAACTGTGACTTTAAGATTGAATAAGGACTTCAAAAAGAGATTCTCGGTTTAGAGGAGTACTGTAAAAATGATGGCATAAGGGCTGCCAAAAGTGCTGTCGAACTTCTGTGCACCTCACGGACAGATCCAATAAAGAGAAGAGGCAAGTTTAAATACTGTCCTTGCTCTGTTCTTCCAGCCAAGACCTGGCCGGAAATGGCAGGAGGGTGCCACTAGCACAAAGGAACACTATTTTTGTATTAGAGAACAAAACATATAAATGTTAGTAGGCGAGTTGGGTTTACAGACAGAAAAGCATGAAGCTATTGTTGAGAAATCCAGGTTTTGTAAGATATGATTGTTGTGTCCAGAAGAAATGACTCAGGTACAGAAATGGGTATTGATACTTTGCCAGAAGAAAGCTTGTATGAAAGCCTAAAATAGGAAACAGATAAAAGAAGAACCAGATCCAAGGCCCTGCTTGGCTTCCCCTCTGGGTCCTCAGAAATCATGAGGTTGCTTTGTGGAAACATAACCCTGCCATTTGAAAATTTCAACTACAAAGAAGTAAATGGGTGATATTTAATATATTATCATCAGAAAATCCATCTACTTTTTCCAACACAGCTATCCTATTTCCTTGAGGAAGCCAAATCTCAATGCTTAGCAAACATTTGTCCTTATACTATAGTAAGATTTCATAGACTAATCAAATGCTCAGTTTTAGTTTGACATCACATTATTTACCTTTTAAGATTCTAAATCAACTGAACTCTAGCAACAGTAGGATATTCTTTTTTTTTTTTTTTTTTTTTTTGGTATGGGGGATTGAACTTGTGTCCTTGTGCTTTCGAGGCAGGCACCAGAACCACTGAGCTAATTCCCCGGCCCAACAATAGGATATTCTTTCATGAAGTTAATTTTTAAGTTAAAAAATTGCTGTCAGAAATCTGTATTTCTTTAGGTAGCATATTAATTTTTTGCAAAGTTATACTCAAATGCTTACTTATGAGCCAAAGGAAATCTTTATGTTCTATGATGTGACTGTGTAAAATAACTAAAATATTTATTTGGAAAAGAGAGCTAATATGTGTAACTTTACACTAAATAAAAAAATAATTGCTACAGTGAAGGTCATAAAGGATCTGGCACTAGACTAGAAATTTATCTTGTTAATGGCATGAAGGATTGGAAGGGAAAAAGGCTTCCCCATTTTTCGGAGCAGTGTGAATAAGAAGGAATACGGATGTTCTTGGGAACAGAATGCAAATACTTCCACACAGAAAGTGGAGACGGTTGTGAGTGACAGGCTGACTGCATCAGCCTCCGTCTAGGCTAAGCCTGACTTGCCGAACTCCTTGGCAACTAACCACAAGCAAATGCACAAATGCAAGAAAGTGATTTCCATAATGCTCATTTATCTAAAAGAGCATGTGGGGGAGGGTTGATTCTGAAGTAATAAAACTTTTTAGCAATTAATCCTGAGAGGTGATTTATGATGATTTTATATATGCCACCGAGCAATAAAATTATGATAAAGATCTCAAACATTTTATAATTCTCTTGAAAAAACAGGTGAAAGTGAGTATCTGCATAAAATGTTCTGTTAGCTCACTGAAACACTGACTTTATTTTAAAAGAAACAACAGAGGTTTCATCTTCAGGACTAAAGTCACATCTATAACAGTGCTAAGTACATTGCAGGAATCCAGCCAGAAACCACTGAGAACTTAACATCATTACAAAAGCTTAAGTAACTCATAATTGTTCCATTCATTTAAAAAAAATAATCATTAAAGTCCACATGTAAAGCAACGGTTTCAGTAAGTGTAAGTGAAAAAATAGCAAAATATATTGGTTTATATACAGCCAACTGGTAAAGCCTAGCAGGTACGTTATCCACACTTTCGGCTTGGAATGGATAGAGTAAGGAAGCTTACTATTTGGTGGAGTCCAGTGAATTATTAAGCTCTGTGAGGGCAGGAGGCATCTAACCATGTGAGGGAGACATGGCAGACTCAATATTTACTGATGAACAGCTAAGCTGGAGATTATTCTCAAAAAATACATCACTTTTAGAAACTGAAGCAGTACATATGGTTATATGACCATACCTCATTACATATCTTCAAACTCTCTAAATTATCACACCAAATGGGGGAAAAGAAAGCATCCTGTGAAAAATGAATGCAAAAAGAGACTTAACAGTTATTTAAGGGAAATAATAATGGCTAATACTCCCAAATTTTCACTGTGGCGTAGAAGCAGCCGAAAGAAAAAGTGAGCATTTTTAAAGGCTTTTCAAGATTGATCTCATCCAGAAATATAAAGCATCCTTTAAAAAACTTTACACTACATTTTACTGAACCACATGCCAGAGGCAAAACATTTCAGAGCACAGATCATTGTGTCACTAACAGGACAGACAGGAAATTTAATACCAGCAGGTCTAACACACACTAACACACACACACACACACACACACACACACACACACACGCACACACACAATTTCCTGGTTTTTGTGACTAATGAAGTTTACTAAGTTTCAATTTTATTTGTACAAGTCCATTTAAAAGTGTATCAATATTAAAATGTATTACTTTTCCTTTGAAGGCCAATAATTTGAGTAGATACACTGAATCATTAACAATAAAACAAAATGGAGATCTTTCAAAGAAGCTTTCTAATTGCATTATAATTTACCAGTATCTTTAAATAAAATTATAATAGTAGGAAGTATCTTATAAAACTATTAGGAAAAAAAATTATAGTAGGTAAAGGGACAGAAAGCCTAAATTCTATCCCTCTTACCCCTCTTAAGCTCAATCACTTAGCCATTCTAGTTTTCTGGGATGCTTTTGTAAACTAATGTATTATTTGCACTGGATGTCTCCGTACCCTGTTTTTAATCCTGGAGCTCTCTATTGCTTTTGCCACCTCCCTAGTATTTTTTGGCACTGACTCAATTGACAAACGAACCCACCCAAAAGTAACTCTCACCACCCAGGAGTTTTTCTCATGGGGTGGTAGAGGCTCAGAATCACTAATAGGTATTTGATAGTATGATTTTAGAAATATTTTTTCTGTAAGTGAACAGTTTTTTTTTGGCTTCTTCCCCCTACCTGAAGGAAGAAGGAAAAGGTCCTGTCCTGAAGATGGGCGGCTGTTGGAGCCAGGAGGTTTTGAATGTTCTGTGAGACTGTGCCTTGCGGGAGGTGGGGGAGGTGGGAGAGCCGGTGGGAGGGCATCAAAAGCATCTTCACCTGAATTTAAAGAGAGGTCCATATCAGCAGCTGAACTTCACAAATGGAAATACTCAGTGTCAAGCAAAAGCAATGACTGACTTTGTCTTGCTGCTTATAAAGAACCCAGGGTTTTCCAGAAGTTCACTGACTTTGATAATGAGATCTAATTATTTTGTGGAAATGTCTGAAGAGAGAAACATTCAAACACACCCTTTCAAACTTGTGCTGTCTTCCATCTCTTCCTATAAGATGCAGTCCTGAAGTTATGAAATAGTTTATATTGTAGTTCGTTTGTAACCTTTACATTATGAGGGCCCTGGAACACCAAACTAAAAATTATCACCAGTCCCACCATCAAAACAGAGTTCTCTGTATAACAGAATTTACAGCCTCTAAGTAGAAAATTGCACTGCACATGTGTAACTTAATGTCAAAAATTGTTTAGATTACCAGTTTTTGCACTAAATTTTAATTCATTTAATGTTCTAAATATTACATTAATTTACTGTCAAAATATACAAAAAATGCCCCTAGAGCAAGGAGATATATGTGTGTGTGTGTGTATTTATTTATTTAACTATTATCTCTAAAGAATAAGTTAAAATACAGAGCTCCCTTTTGTGGTCTGAAAATATACTTATATTTAATTAACTCTCAGTTTTAGTAAGTATAGAGTATTATACTCTGGTTTTCTGCCACTTATTTTCCACTTGTTACACCTATTTTTCCCATAGTTTATCTTTGATTTTTTAAAAAAATAAATTACAGTGAATACAGTTTCTCAAAACTACCTTAAATACTCAGCGAATAAGACAAGGTATATATAAATACCCACTTCTAGTAATAAAAATTTATATGTATTTAAGTTGAACTGCATAGATACACACCTAACTGTACCTTGCAAAAAGCATGCAGAATATTTCCCATAAATACTTTGCCAATTTAAAATAGTTGAAGATATAATAGATCTTTGTTACCATTACAACCTTGAGCTGTCATACTACCATGTTCAAATTCATTTTCAGCATATAAATATCAGACATTACACTATGCAACTGAATGATACAGAGATCAAAATCATAAGGCTCTGACTTAAGTGTAGATTCCATTAAAGAAGCTAAAGAAAATGTTCACACATAGGTATGATTTATAGGTAAAAGTATTTGGTCCCATGAAAGACATACAAACATGGGAAAAGAAATGTAGACAAGTGGCATTCCATGAATTGCTGATGAAGTGGAAAACCTGGAATATCAGAGGACTCAAAACATGTATGCACGGAATGTAAGGATGGGGTGGTGATCTTCTAAACTGAATGAACAAAAAAAATTAGATGGGCAAGAAAAGCTAGAGGAAGGATGGAGCAAAGTGATAGGCTGCAACATGTATCTGAATTATCCATTAAGGTAGTCACCACATACAGCTATTTAAATTTAAATAAAAATAAACGACAATTCAGTTATAGGTCTCACTTAACCATACAAAAATACACATCCTTTACATCCTCACAGAAAGGTATCCTGGGACAGTGTTTCTGATCTACGTTATGAAGACTGGGTAACACAGATCAAGAAATGGTGTGTAGGCAGAAGTGAACAAGAGAATGTAAGTCAGGAACCAGATGTAAATAACATAGGTGAGAATAAAGCCCTAAACTACAAAAATAATACAAGTGAAAGATAATGCAATCCAAAATATTGCTTGTGAGGCAAATAGAAGTTCATTCATATTTCTAGTGACCTAACAGATAATTCAGAAAAGTTTATAAATGGACCTTCATCATCATGTTATGTTATGGTGAAGTCACAGGAGTGCCTTATGAAATTAGGGTGAGAAGTTTCTATTTAAAATTACAGAGATTAACAGTGACACTGGCACCAGGCAACTTCAAGATAAAAGGGCTTATCAAAAATAAAGGTGTAGGGAAGGTGGGATGGGTAGGCGAAGGGTAATAAGGGAAAAGAAAAAAGTGTGAGATAATGAAAAGATGAAAATAAAGTGTTTGTAGATGGGGAGGGGAGGAGGAGGTTAAGGGAGGGCAGGGACAAGGGGAAAAAATGAGAACCAAGATCTGTCATTTAGAGGTACAAGATCCCAACAATGACTGTAACTGTACTGTATCCCTAAAATGTAGCAATAAACTCAATTAAAGTTGAAAAAAAATATGGTGTGTGTTTAAATAAAAACATTAATACAGTAAAAGACACATTATATTGCCATTAGTCTCCCTGAACATGTCGCCTTTCAGTTCAGATACACTTAATTCCTGGTTCTTGCCACTTTCTGAAACAGTTCTTTCTCATGAGTATCATTTTAATGTGTAACAGAGTGATGCACCCTACCGCCAGGTGCCTTGCCCTGGAAAGGCGAGCTTATGAAAACATTACAGTGTCTGCATACACCTCATTCACAGGATTTATCACCATGCAATTTCTGGTTCTTCCTCAAAGTCAAAATGACCACAAAAGGTAACATAAGAATCAGTGTGGGATGCCAAAGCAGCTGTGACAGTGCAGCTAAAAACACTCACAAAGGACGACTTCCCAAACTGCACTGGAAAAGGCGCAGGAAGGATGGGATGATGGCATCAGACATGAAAGAGAGTACTCTGAGGGGACTTATGGCAATGTGTTTACTGTAATATATTTTTTAAAATTTAAATCATATTCTAGATAATACTGCATAGATACACACCTAACTGTACCCTGACATGTATACACACACAAGTACACACTGCTTCTTATAATTTGAAAGAGAAACTGCGTTTCCTAAGGTACTGTACTTTTAATAAATAAATTTATTTACGATTTTCTACAAATACATGTATCATTTTCCACAATTTAGTTAGCGTAAGACTTGCTCACTTCATGCTGAAATAAAGGCAACTTCAAATTAAGAATTACTACATTTAAATCAATATGTCAAATCATCATTTCAAAACTACTAGAACACAAGGGCAAGGGAAGGAACCATGATCCGGTGTTTTTAGGGTTCATCTACTATATAAGAGATAACTTTATAAAACCCTAATTCCCAGCCAGCTTTTATACCATCACTTTTTCTAGTTTAAAAGAGTTATATAATATAAATTAATCACTATCTATCTTGACTTACTGTTTTGTTCTGATTATCAAAGTAATTTTATTGTAGAAAAATCAGTTATACACAAAAGTGTAAAAAAATACTATAAAAATCACCTACAGTTTTATGACTTGCTGAAAACTATTTCATATGTCATTATTTGAATCATCTAAGTAACAGTCATATGAAGTCAGGAGTCAGCATCACCTGGAGCACCCATTCTAAGGTTAGGTAAATTCAGAGCATAGTGAACTGAATTCTGGGTTCTGATAATATAGATACGAGAGAAGAAGCAGGGGAAGGAGGAGTTTAAATTTTTTTTAAGATTTCAACCTAATGGAGGGATGAGAAGATCATAATCAGAGGGCGTCCTGTTGAGTGAAGAATCATGCTTTGGACTGTCCCGAGTTGGAGGCCTGGCAGGTGGCAATGGCACTGGATCAGAGGCTGAATCAAAAACATCTCCTAGAGGATAACACAAAACCTTATTGTATTTTTAGTATAGTAATGGCACAGAATTTTGCCTTTAAATTCTGACCATTATGATGTAGATCACAAAGGAGAATATATTTTATACCTACCCTTTAAATATATGCCTAATTCAGGGATGTTTGATTTCTTCACATCTGAAGACGTATTACTATGTGCTCCATTCAATATACAATGGCCATTATCACACGATCTAAAGCAGAAATCAGAGGCAAAATCATATCAACATTTAAGAGTTCATTTAAAAGTTGTGTGAGGTGGGAAGAGGGACCTAGCATCCCTGTACATATAGTAAAGTTTGAAAATAGAGTGTTTTTTCTGGATAGTAACGCTAACAGTACCTAGATATTCTTCCCTTTATTTTTAATATCAGAAGTATCTTGTAAAAGACAAATAATTGTTCTCATTCTCATTTTTTAAACTGAAACCAAAAATTACAAGCGCCACAAAAATTGCTGATACCTTAAATGCTACTTTGAAACTAATACCTAGTCAAATTTTTCAAATCCAAAAGAAATATGTGTGGAGACAAAGAATATGTAACAGTAGGGCTGGGGATTTAGCTCCAGTGGTGCTGTTGCCTGCCTTGCAAGCACAAGGTCCTGAGTTCGATCTAGTACCAAAGAACAAAACAAAACAAAACAATATATAACACTTCACTGCAGTAACTTCACTATTGGCTATGGCACTAATATTATATTTTTATTTATGCCACAACATTTTTAAAAATAAACCACAGTCCATAAGAGAGAAAAATTACTAAGCTTTCAATAATTCCATTAAAATTGTGACTATTTAAAACCCAGAGACTGCAACACTATTGCTTAAATTCAGTATGGTCCCAAATAAACTCTGGCTCTCGGACACTGTGAAGATACGCCTTTACCAAATGTATTTAAATCTTAGTGTTTGTAAAAAGCAATGATATTCAATATAAAGGTACATATGTTGTTTTGGAACTGATACTTTAGAACCATACTATGAACACAATGGATAAATCAAGGCACAAGAAGACAGCACTAGGAATAGAGGTGCAGAGCATACTTTGCCTTCAGCATCCACCATATAACAATCACCTAGCAAAGAGGAGTGGAGAATGAAGCTGATATTTTACCCTCTGAATTATTCCGAATTCTTACAGCAAAGTTAAATAAGTACATACATAATGGAGGAGACCATAGATATTTGAATATAGAGATTGCAAGATTGCTTCATCTGAAATTCATTTCTATTCTCTCTGGTGACCACTTCTCTTTAAGGAGCCAGATTTGGTTCATTTAGAAACAGTTATCATGTATTGAATCTTCCTAATAATGATGGATATTTTTACTGCAACTGAATTGAATTATTCATTTACCATTTTGCTTTTTCCAGATATTGACAATTTATTTCTCCTGATGTTCCAAAGGGGAGCACACAGGGGAAGAACTGTTCGGGCGAAAGTGTGCTTCAGAGAGGACATAAGATGGTACTACATCCATCAGCTTTCAAGAAAGAATTAGATATAGAATTCATTCCAATTAAGTTTAGGGATGATCAACATTTATTACTGCTCTATAACAGTCTAAAGATGGTAATGATGGTTATAATTCAAATTTATTTTCAGGATTCAGGAGGGCTGCCACCAAAATCTCATTCACTATGATGTGTTAATTAAAATTTAACATGTTAAAATTACACCCCTCACTCGCCCAGCAATAAAAACATAAGATTCCCAAGGAGACCAAAAAGGCTTATCCTATTTCAGATTTTAAAAATTACTTTACATTTGTAAGAGCCAAAGGGATGAACAACTGTAATAATTTCTATGAGAAGGAATAAGATTTTTCTCTAATAGATCAGTAGACACTTGGTTTTTCTGATGTAGCAAATTGCTTCCCAGTTGTTTGTCTTCTCAATGATACTATTTTATCAACAAATACCTTCAACACCAGCAATCAGTTAGCAGTATGTTGGTCCTTGCTTTGGAAAAATGAAGCCCTAGGATGCAGAGTTACTAATCCTGGTTAATAATTCTGCAGAGTGTTGATAATTCTAAGCAGCATCAGTTATTAAGTCAGAACTCTGGTTAAAACAAAGATTTTTCTTTTCTAAGTACTGTATTTCATTTTCTGCCTCAGTGAGATATTTGAAGAAAAGCACTAAAATACTTTTCAGCTGGGCACAGTGGTACATACCTGTAATCCTAGCTACTTAGGAGGCTGAGGCAAGAGGATCACAAGTTGAAGCCAGGCTGGGCAACTTAAGTGACTCAACTCAAAATACAAATTTGAAAAAGAGCTGTGAACTTGGAGCACTGATAAACTACTTGATTAGAATGTGCAAGATCTTATGTTTAACCCATAGTATCAAAAACAAACAAAACCACGCATTTCAGTCTTTTTGTCCAAAAAGAAGGAAAGTCTTCACTCAAAGTATTTTTAGTTGACTGATCTGACCTGGAAAGAAAAGTCAAAGTAGCCCTCAGTCAGCCAGCCAGGAGAAGCTGGGCAGCAGGGCCCCAGCAGCTCAAGGGATATTATATTTGAGAAATAAGAGCTCAGAAGGACAGTTCTGAAGCTGAGATTTCACTATGAAGTGGCTCATATGTTAGTAAGATTAAAATAAATATAGGAATATTATAATTTACTAATTGAAAGCAGAATCATGCTTTTAAAGTCAACTAATATTTCAGTACATAACGAGCTATTGGTAACACTCATTTGCCACAATGTGACTGCCACTTCACAGAGCAGGGATATAGGAATTACAGTGACAGTAACAACAACAACAACAAAAAGAAAAAAAAAAAAACACTGTTTCTTACATTCTGATCTGATCTCCAAGGGAAGTTGAAATAGAACATGATCAATAAAATCAGTTCAGAGAAAAAACTTCGTTGTTTTATTTTTGTATTCTTTAAGAACTAGATAGAAGCAGGTGGCATATAAAGAAGGGGAAAAATTGTACTAGCCTTTTTTACATCATGAAGAAAAAATTTAAGGAAGTTTGTGACACTTTAGTTTCTCCACACTACTTTCCTTCATACTATGTGTTTGGAAGTGATAAAATACATTAAAATAACTTATTAAAATATATTATTAATGAACAGTATATGTAATATATAGCCACATTTTTGTTAAGAGTATATTTTAGAGTTTTCTGGAAGACCACAAAATATCCCATTACATTTAGTTCCCTGTGAAAGAAATGCAGAAAATAGCATAAAAGTAGAGGCTTTGAATAGAAAATCATAGATGTTTAGCCAAACATACATGAAAATATACATAAAAACAAACCCCCCAAGTGATGGAGCTTGTACAGATGTAAATGGGGCAGAGCTGTCCAGACTCTTACCGAACAGGTTTTACATTATGACAATGAGATGGTTGTGAATTCAGGGACACTGGATGGGATGATGGAATCTTGTATTCATCGTCATCTTCCGCTACTGGGTCTCTTGTTTTCTCTGAAAGAGAATTTGCTAATGGGCCAGTACACCTACCAAGGGAAAAAGAAAATCCAATCCAGTTTAAGCATCACATGTATTTGGAACAGGAAAGTCTGATGTGACACATTCAAATCAAAAGACTACTTTATACTTGTCTTCATTTTTCAATTACAGGGCAACATCAGAGAGGCTGTTCTAGTAAATACAAATAAATACAAATGGAAAGGCTTTGCAGACTTTTGTAAATAACTTCTTGATAGGATAAAAGAATTCTCATAATTTAAAATTATATGATGAGAAAAAAATTAGTGGCCTATCAAACAAAACGAAAGGGTCTTGGAGTTGTAAGAGCAAATGTGTAGAAGTATTTAAAGAGAAGCTATTAAAATACATTTTGAAAACATTCAAGAAAAACAAAAACAAAACATTAACATTTTGGTTCAATTTAACTTAAATGGGGCAAAGTAGGATTATAAAAATGTAGGGTAGGGGCTGGGGATTTAACTCAGTGATTCTGGTGCCTGCCTCTCAAGCACAAGGACCCAAGTTTGATCAGTGGTACCAAAAAAAAGTATGGTAGTAGTTTTATATATGAATAATTTTTATAGAAAGGTCAAATGTTTTGTTTCTTCTATCACCTATAGTTGAAAAAATTTAAAATTTAACTCTCCCTTGAAATAATTCAAGTTGTTAATTCTCCCCCCCCAAACAAACTAAGCACTAAAAATGAATGGACTAATTAGAAGCAGATAATAAAACCACTTGTTAAATAAGTCTTTGACATACATTATTTTTATAGTTTCAATGCCCAGGCTAATAAGAGAACTAAAAGTAAAACAATTATCTAACATCAGAAGAAATTTTCAAGTATTTTACTTACTCATTTGAGTAAATAAAATTTAAAAATCCAAAGAAGCATGCAGAAATCTATTTTTCACAGATATTGCTACTGGAAATTGACTCTTGCTGATGCCAATGAAAAGTGCTAACCCAGAAATACACAAACCCAACCTGACTGACTACAAGACCACCAATTAGTTTGCAAGACACTGGGAATATACGTTTTTGTTAATCATGCACCTTCTAAGAAGTTGCATTTAAAAAAAAAAAGTCTAACTGCAATTTTGCAGCACCTTCTGTAGAGGGAGCAAGAGGCCTTTTGTATTTAAAGTCATCAAGCCTAAATTATCTTTTTCATTTTGATTTCTTACCACAGGTTCAGTACTCCATAGTCAAAATGCCTTGAACTAGAGGTGCTTCAGATTCTGGATTTTTTTTTTTCCAAATTCTGGAGTGTCTGTATAAACTTTACCATTTGAGCATCCCTAACCATGATGCTTAAGAAATTTTGGATTTGAGAAAATTCTGGATTTAGGATTTTCATATTAATAATGCCTAACCTGTAGTTAAAATGGAAACATTTTTGTCAGCTTTTCTCTGTGCTAACTACAAGGAAACATTTTGAAAAACCTAAAGGTTTTCAGGTTTCAACTATGTATCTGTTTTTAGCTAAAAAACAAAACAAAACAAAACAAAAACAAAAAAAACCCTCTCATGATTTTTCAAAGGTTTTTCCCTTTGAAGAATTTTTCAATATTGATCTCTGAATTCTTGTTAGAGCTACCCCAGAATTCCAATGGCCATTAATGGCAAAATAAAATCAGAAGTGTTGCTGCAGTAGAAGGTCTGATGCCACAGCCCACAGGACAAGCTAAGACTTAAGATTTATACCTACTATGGTTTAAACGTGGAAGATTTACTTTCCAATTGGAAGCAGGTAAGTGTAATGTATTGACATCACAGCAAGGATTTAGAACATTTTCCATACATTTTTAATAAATACAAGCACAATTTAGCACACTGCGGGATCAGAATGGGTTCTATTACCAAGCCAAATGAGAGATGTATTAATCCTTTCTATGCCCTAAAATACTTTTACTTAGAACTATGTGTGTATAGTAAACGTGCATTTACTGATGTTATATTTTCTATAAATTCAACTACGTTTGTCTCCTATTTGTGCTTTGAATTGCAAAATGTTGAAGGGTAGATACTGACTCAACCAGGCTTGGTAGGGTATGTTCAAATGCTTGTATGGAATTTGTATAAGGTTTCAGATAAACAGTGCTTATTAGCAAAATAAATGATCAAGCTAATAAGAGATCAATTATTTGAATGCCAGAAAAGCATTTTAAATAAGGTACATCATTTTATATTTGTTTTTAAAAATGTATTCTAAGGCTCTCTCGTTACTCAGTAAAATTTAAAGGAAAGCTTACAAAATTTCTGTATTAAAGAACAGAATCATCACAGCTTGCCATATTTTGTATTTCTGTTCTGGACTATTCTAATCCTAACAAGGAATATTCTTAAATCAGAGAAGAAGCAAAACAACTGGCAAAATATTAGAAATGATTATTGCACTGTGCCACATATAATCATTTCATCTAAATATCAGATTTTTATCATTTACAAGCTATTTTCCAGGTTCTTTTGCGATATCAAGTGGTATGCCTTTAAGCTTTAAGAAAATGTTTAATTGTAAGCAACTTTATTGATTTGTTTTGATTGCAAACATAGACGAAATTGCTTTGTACTTGTGTTTTGTCCCGCATGCATGGTCTGCACACAGATAACCTCACAGCTTGCTCCCTTACTTCTTTCATGTTTCTGCTTAAATATTATCCTTCCAGACAGGTCTTTCCTAAGTATCTCAACTAAATTAAAAACCTCTCTGCCACTTACACCCTTCCCTGCTTAGTTCTCATCCTACCACTCAGAATTAGCTGACAACAAGCAATATGGTTATTCATTTTGTTCTCCTTCATTAGAGAACAAATTCTAAAGGGGACAAGGATTTTATCTTGTTGTCCATGATTCTCCATACACTATAGCAACTGAAAGAAAACAGGACAGATGGACAAAATTTGGATGCTCTATTGAACCTAAAGCATCAGTATAATATTTTTCAAAAAACTTATGACAATAATCAACATCATTACCTCCAATGACCCAGAAAAACTTCTGTTTACAAAAATATGAAGTAGTGCTTTCATAGATGTTGAAAGCCAATGACTAATACACCAAATGTATAAGAGGTCCAATTATAAATGATAAGGCATAATAACAATATTCTAATGAAATGACATTTCTCATAATTCAAGAACATTATCTTACCTGGAATCAATTACTCCATTATTACCTGAAATGATGTCTCAGTTTATTTGCCAATGTATTATGTGATGTAAAATAAATATTTTAACTTAGAGTTCATTATTTCAATATATTTAATAAATATATAATTTCTAATATCCACAAAATAATCCACAAAGGATTTTTAAATGTTCTCTTAAAAATAATTTACTTCAAGCATTTACTTATAATACTACATAGTGCACTGTCAATGATGTCTATTAAATAGAAATCATTTAAAAAACATTACTTGGAACAATTAAGAATATAGTATCTATACAACTGTAGTTTGTACTCACATTTACAATATATCTTTTATAAATTTTATATAGTTTGAAGTTGCAACATAAATTACATAATAAGGGCTGGGCATGTAGCTCAGAGGAATGCTGCACTGCTCAGCATGCATTAGGCCCTGGGTTCAATCCCCAGAACTACAAACAGGTAAGACAGACAGATAAAACTAAAAATTGTGCTATAAAAGTCACATAATTAAAAAGATACAATCTAAGGAAAAATGAAACTTTATCATAATCTCTATCATAAAATTATGGGGACTAATACTAGTATCAAATATTTAACAATTACATATCTTTAACAAAGTTTAGATAAAAAGCTAAACTCTAGCTTTGACAATATTGAATTTGACATTAAGATTTTCAACTTTTCTGAGAAGTGCAAAAGTTTGTAAGGTGTAAGTTTATAATTTTGTATTATCTTAATTTCTAAATATGCACTGAGTCTAGTATGACAATGGCTACGTGAATATCAATGTCTCTATTTCACTGAGCGAAGTCTTTCTAAGAACTGTGCTCTATGATGCTTTAGAGCTGGGTTTTGCACCCACTGTACTCTGACTATACATTCTTAAAGATGCCAAAGTACCAATAATAATAACACCCAACATATTATGACTACTATAATATCCAGTCTGTATAAAGTACTGTAGAACATTAATCCAATTTATATTGGTTTCAGCAATGGAATGTGACCAGCCTACAGAAGTTACCTTCTTCAAAATAAGACATACTTAATACTAGAATAAGGTCTAGAACCCAATCTGATTGTATTCTACTGTTCACTTAATTACACGGTGTTTTGGTAATAAATACAGTGTATAAACAATTAAGAAAAATGTTTATGATAATATGAAAAAGGGTATGACATTATGTTTACATAATCTAAATGTTTAAAAATTTTAAAGGAAAAATACTGAACTGTTAACACTACACATTGATATTAGGGTATACATATGTGTTGTTAGGGTACAGGTTATTTTTTAAATTCATGTACTTATTTTCTACAGTGAAGAAGTGCCACCTACAAAGTGAGAAATAAAAAAATGGAACCATAAATGTATCATTAAAATCTAACATTTGTATTCTTTTATGGCTAATCTACAGCATGAGAGCAAGAAAATTAATTTGCTGCTAAGCAGGTATTGTTAAAATATTTCATTACTTAAGTAAAACAACTGCACTATATTTGAGGAAAAAATAGGGGTAAATGGGAAGAAAGTATTAGCATATGGCTGGTATGCTCTTACAAACTGAAAAGTTAGAAGGACATCAGTAAAATACATTTCCCTCTGATCTTTCAATTTTTGCTTTGTTTACAGGAGAAGCAGGTACTTAACAGTAAGTACTAATGAAGCAAAGTGCAACCTCTACCTCTTATCATACTTGTCAATACAGATTTAAAACACAGAATTAGAAACTTTATGCTCTAATTTTGAAGCCAAATTTCATTTACTTCAGTTTCTAAAGTTCTCTGAGTTAATAGAGAGAAGTGGGCTTAGATGTTTTACTACATATTCATATAAAGTATGAGCATATCCTTCCTTGTGTAGAGTTTACTATACAGAATAAGTGTAACTGCTTCAAACTCATTTCTGGCAGTTCCATGAAGAGTTCTCTCTGAAGAAATGGTCCAGTTAGCCGAGCTGTCCACTGTCTCTGAATGACGTTGGGTGTCAAGCTCTGGCTTTTCCTCATGTACTGCCTTGGCCAGTGTGTCCATTCTTTGTGACTCAGGCTATTTCCACTCCCTCTGAAATATCCTCAACTTACTAAGTCTCTAACAGCCTCTACTCCCAACTCATAAAACAGGTTAGCACTGCAGTTTCATGCATAATATTTTCTAGTTATTTCATGTTAACTTTATTCCCTAAACTGAAAATTTCTTAGGGGCTGAGATTTAGTTTATCCCTCTTTTGATATGTACAATGGGAGTTCAGCAACCTACAGAGAATAAAAACGCTCTAAGATCAGCAGATAAAATTCAGTTAAGAATTCTGCAGAAAGGAACCAGAACATCGATAAGGTGGTGGACATCCTGAATTTGTAATGTTTTTGCAGAGTTGGGGATTGAACCCAAGGTCCTACACATTAGTCAAGTACTCTACTGCTGAGCTACATCCTTAAAACCTTAAAGTTGTTTTAAAATCAGAAAGCAGTATATAATAGAAAATAAACTGTAAGAAAAGTAATGCACATCAGTTTTAATTATTAAACAGAAGAAAAGAGATGTTTTTATAAACATACAGTCTGAAACACGGACATTTAGTATGAAATTTTTGAGAAAGGAGAACAAGGGAGCAAACAACAAAGAAAACTGGCAAAGCCAGAAAATATATACAGACAAGACTACAGGGCAAATATTAAAAATCACTGAAAAATACTTTATGTGGATAAAGTCCTAGCTAGCAGGTAAGTACAGAATGAATTAAGTAGAAAAGAGAAAACAGTACACGTTTTAGAGTAGGAAAGAGATCTATGCAGAACAGGATGTAAATCAAATCAGCTGCAGCAAACAAAATTGTAGTAAAGCAGGCAGCCTGATTTGCTTAATGAGCAGGAACATGAGAATTGGGAATTTGATTTTATTTAACCTGGCTTAACTTGGGTAGATAGCACTTGTCTGTGCCATTATGTCCCCATTTTTCAAATGAGACACTCAGGTTAGCTCATTTTCTAGCTTTAAACCCACTGATACTAATTCTGAAATCTTAGAAGATGATCGGATAGATGGCTCCTTCAGGACTGCAGCCATGAGGCAAAGCTAGGCAATGGCAAGATTAGCTAAATATATATATATATAAAATCTAAACAAGAAACTCCAAAAAAGCATGGATTTGAGACACAGGGAACTTGGAGGAAACAAGGATCACTCTGTGATGTCAAACAGCAATGGGGATAAAATGTGACACCAGCAATAAGGAGAGGCAGGTTGGGAGAAGAGCTCACTGTGCTGATCTGCCCCTCTCTGCATATGGGGAATGATTAGCTTTTTTGTTTTGGTTTGGTTTGTTGTTGTTGTTGTTGTTTTGAGACAGGGTCTCACTGTGTAGTTGAGACTGACCTGGAACTCACTATGTAGCCCAGGCTGGTCTTGAACTCACAGCGATGCTCCTGACTCAGCTTCCCAAGTGCTGGGATTACAGGCGTGCGCCACCATGCCAGGCTACTTAGCTTTATTGTCCCACTGCTCCATGTGTAATCTCAGACAGCTGAGATAAACCTCATAGAAGCTGTGATTACCAGCAGAAGATTGAGAAGGACCTTGATTTCTGGTACTAGTTTGACTGAAGTGTTTGTTTTTTCACTGATTCCTCTCTATGTGCCTTGAAGTTTCTGTACTGATTACCTCAAAAAGCATTCTTCACCACATTTCTAGGCATTGACAAATGATCTCCAAATTCAGTAAAACTTACTTTATGCTAGGGAGCAGGGCAGTGATGGGAGGAGGGGGAGAAAGCCGAGGAGGAACATCGTACTCTTCATTTCCTAGGTGACCATTGGAGAAGACCTGCAAGTAAATCAAATGGTTAGTATGCAAGACATTACAGTTCACTTTATTAGGAGTCAGAAACACCACAGTGATGATTTAACATTACCCAAAACAGCAGAAGGTCATATGCAATAAAAGATACCATAATTCTTAAACATAAGAATTATGAGAAACATGAGAGGTAATAGTATGGTTTATATAAATTAAAAACAGAAAGTCAAATTAGTAAAACTTCAAATGTGATCAGTTTTTATGGAAAAGATAGGGGCTGGATAAAGGAAAAAGCACTGGTATGATTCTTATTTTGTTTCTTTCCAAATAAAAGTGTTCTGAATGATATCTCTTTAGGGTCAACAGAACATTCTCTAACTTTTTGCTATAAAAGTCTAGGAGTATTATGATTTTTTTTTCTTTGCTTCATGTTTGAATCTTCAGGGCAAACAGATATCTGCCTGGCTCTCAAAGTGTAGATAAGATTAAATTTTGGTTGCTGAGCACCACAAACCACAATTCTGAACTTGCTCACATATGTATATGTTTCAAAGAAAACCAGTATTTAATCACTGAGAACTAGGAAATTCTAACTTCCAGGTTTCTCAGTCACACTACAGGAACTGTCTGAGCAACTGTTCGGTGCTTTTCCAACCACCTGAAATGAGCACAAATTACAAGGGAGGAAATGAGAGAATCACTTTGCAAAGGCATAGTCACAAGGACAGACTGTGAATACGTGTTAAGATCCCTAAGTGACCATTAGATTTTCATCGCAGGCCTCTTTTGCACCCTGTTATTAATTCAGATTAAAGGGCAGACTGCTAGTGGAACAGCACTGATGAAATGTAGCTAATAGTCCTAGATAATCAAATCAAGGACCAACCAGTTACTTTTCCTCCTCTACATTCCTAAAATGGTATAGAAGCTTTAAAATGCAAAAGTGAAAAGGTCACACCCTCACCTATCAAATGGATGAAAATGGCTACAAGTTTGAAGAACACATCTGAAAATTATCAATGTTTGCATATCAAAGCTGTAAAACATCATTTTATAATATTAAAATCTCACTCTAAACATTAGGTTCTAGGCTTTAGTTCTATTTTTCTTTTTCAAGTCTTTTTTCATTGAATTTAGTACACTGTAGTTACATCAGGACAAAATATGATATTTAAATGATTTTTATGATTTTTTTTTCCTATGGGCTAAATAACAATGTAGCAAAGATGAGAAGTTACCTAAAAGATATGAATCACTGCAAAGTTCAATTAAATCTTTCAACTTAAAAAATGCCTTTTAACTGACAAATACTGTATCAAACCACAAATGTTCATTATAACAAGGAGCACTTGAAGTCATTCTTAATTGGAACTGTTTGCACGCTACAGCAGTATATATAATGTTAACAGAACTGCAATCAAATCTCAATGTTTCTAAATCACAAATACATTTAAACTTCATTCTCAAAAATGAAATGTGGATTTTATATGCAGTAATTTGTTTTAGGAAAAAGTACCTAACATAGGTAGATATCTAATCATTTCAGTAACAATCAAAAAGAAGGAAGATATGGAAATAATACTGCAGTAGTTCCAAATTAATGACAAGACAATTTATAATCAAGACAGTAAGAACATATCTGAAAAGCAATACCAATACAGACATCTATTGACATTGAAAATGATTTCACCTCATACATTAGGTAACTGGAGAATAAATATAGTAATAATATACCCAGCACAACCTTTTTATGTATTACTACTAAACTACATAAGGAGAAATCACACAGGCAATGGAGTGTATCACTGATAAAAGCACAAAGCACAGTTAATGAGGTAACTCATTCTCTGGGAGGGCAATAAACTAAAAAAACCAGGGACTTGTTCCTAATTTTATGAAACAATCAATATAAAGTACAAATACATTCTCTCATTGCTTCCTTTATACTGTTATTGATACATAGTACCTAAAAGATTTCTTCTGACTCTGAAATGTCCTAATGTCTTATCTTTTTTTTTTTGGTACCACTGGGGATCAAACTTGGGTCCTTGCACGGCAAGTGCTGGAACCACTGAGCTAAATCCCAAGCCCGTCATAGTCATTTCTGAGCCACTCTACAGCTAATTCCTTTATTTTCCATCCATGAGATTATGACCCATTGTGGAGAATTTATGCCACATTGAATCTCCTGCAGAACAAAGACAATTTCAAATTTACTTTATGCTCATTCCTTCAGGTGCTTTATACATGTTATGGCACATGAATTTTGACTGCTGCTTGGGTTAAATTTCTTACTGAAGGAGGCATTAACCAATGAAATGACTTTCTTTAGGTACAACTGGAATAAACTCATTAGTTTACTCCAATACTCTCAGTGATTGTAATTTAATGGTTGGTTTTTCTACTAGCAGAGTTCAATGTGCATCCTGTACCCCTTCCTTTTTTGAGTGAAGAGGAAATGTCTTGGGCTTCATATAAAACACATAATATAGTTAATGTACACAAGTAACAAAACTTCCTTTATCTTTACATTTTTTAACATTAAAGGTGGTGGGGTGGGGTGGAAGAATGAGCAACAGGTTGGATATGGCTTTAACTATTCTCAAATATGTACTCAGGATTAAAAATACACCTAACACCATACATGAAATTCATTCATAGTTCTTTCCTAATTAATAGACTGAGATTATGCAAAGGTTCAAACAGCAAACAATCTAAATGTATGATCATACTCCTGTTCACCCAGAGCAATCACATACATTTCTTGATGGTGGCTGGACATTTTGTCATTCTGAAATCCATGCTCCTATTTCATTCATTTCATTAGACCAGGCATCATTTTAGCTGCCACTTCCTGAGGGTATGAAATACACCACAACTTTATGAACTAAAAATAAGTATTTTATTTTCTTTATAAATTTGAAAAACTTGTTTGCAAATAGTAAAAAACAATAGTTTCTCAAATGTATGGGCTGATGGTATCAATTGAAGCAGTTCACACTGCAACTTCACTGATGAAACTGGGAAACATCCTTTTGCCCTCTGCCGTCCTAGCTTCCTGTCTCCAAATTACCACTATGCCACTGAGAATGCCAATGCCTTAACCTTTTACAATCCTGGCACTGATCCTATCATTCCTTTGAAGAAGGGGGAAAAAAAAAAGATTTGAAAAGCTCTTTCCTAGGAAAGTAAGATAACTTCTTTTAAAATTCAGGGCACTCCTTAATTGGTTTCAACCTACTTCCACTCTATGGCTCACTGGCCTCTTCTCTCTCCTGTCCCTAATGACCTATATTCTACCCAAAATTGACTTCCTATCACAATACATATTTTCATACCTCCAGACTTTTCCGTCCTGTCATGCCTATAAAAACAACAGCTATTGATCTTTAAATGTCTATAACCAGTTACCCTCTTGCATAAAGCTTTCTTTATTCCCTTTTCCACCCTGGCTTTCAGAATTTTTCTTTTGGGGTTTTATACATAATCTCTGGATAATTCTCATATGTCTTGCCTCTTAAATTAATCGCACGCCTATCTCATCCTCATTAAGACTCTGCTTTATTCATATGTGTCTTCCCCACAGTGTCCTGAGCACTCTCAGACATAGCTGAATTAGGTTGAAGGGATAAGAATACATTTATTGGAAGTGGAAGAAGTGCCATCTGGTTTATTCAGGATTTATTGTAAATGTAGGTTATTCTAGATCTTAATTCTGATGTTGGAAATATATTCCTGTGATTCAGATATTATCTAAAAAACTGAAGGTTAAAACATTTGGAATCTCTGAAATATAGAGAAAATGATTCTGTGAAAACTACCACTATTAAAATGTTTTACTTTATAAAACTCCAAATAAAAATATTTCCCCATCTTATGTATGTAACCCTTCCTAACAATATAATATCCAAAGAGAATCCCTACATTTTGTCCTTCACAAGATTGGAGATGAGAGCAGTGTACACCGAAGGCTTATTTTTTGAAAGATAGTCCCTGAGATTCATAGATAAGTTTAAGGTCATTCATGTAAACACGTGCCTGTTAACCAAAAGTGCAAAAGCCACAATTTCAGAAAGGGAGATCATGTGACCTACTTATCTAGCAGTATCTTTAAAAGATTGTTATACATAAGGTCATGTTGAAAACAATGTCAGTAACATGACAAGTTAATCTTTTATCACATAAGGAACAGCAGTATTATTAATCTCTCAAGGGGAAAAATTTATGATAGCTGAGTGCCTTGTTTAGAAGTAAATAATTTTCAAGTTTTTACTCGTATTTTAAAACATTTTAGTGAAAATATTTTCACCTCAAACAAACCAACAATAATATCTCCCCAAAAAGGCATCTACTAAGTTAGGGATTTTAAATATGACAACGATCTGAGAATTTCAAAGAATGGAAACATTGCTGTAAGAAAGAAACTTCTTAGCAATACAAGAAGATAAATAAGCCTGGTGACTCTTAGCTTAACAGAGCCATACTGAAATTAAGGTATCCCCTTATCTAACTTTTGATTATGCTGGGTGTGAGGAAAGGGAAAAGGGAGTATCAAGGAAAATGTATACGCATCATTTTTACTATGAATTAGGGCTCTCCCCCTGAAGCTCTCTACAATTAGCAAACAGTAATTAGAATTTAATTTGTTCTTGTTTCTCTCATTCTCTGTCGAATGAACATGTAAATGAAAAAGGCCAGTGTCTAGAGGATGATAGGAGCTGGCATTTCAAAAGGCAGACAATGGAGAGGGCAAGGCCTTACCACAAAAATAGGACGAGCAGTTTCATAAACTCCCCTTATGTGACTCCATGCACATTTCATTTTTATTTAAACTATTAGAACATCTAAGCATTCTTTAAAATCAAAAGATGACATTTAACATGAAATGTTACCTCTAATGAAACAACTAAACCTGGAATAGTAACAATGACACTTCTACTATTTTCCCAAAAAGGACATTTGCTTATATTTAAAGAAACTGATGCGCATACTGAAGATACACTCCTAAGTGAAATAAATAAGGCACACATGTGTAAATACCGAATAGTTTCTCTGGCGTGCATAATCTGCAATAATACAGAAGACCCTAATAAGATTACTGACATTGAGAAATGGGAAGAAAGGAGCTAAAGGTGTAGGGAAGGTGGGACGGGTAGGGGAAGGGTAATAAGGGAAAAGAAAAAAAAACCTGAAAAAATGGAAATAAAGTGTTTGTAAAGGGGGAGTTGAAGGGAGGGCAGGGACAAGGGGAAAAAATGAGAACCAAGACCTGTCATGTAGAGGTACAAGATCTCATCAATGAATGTAACTGTACTGTATCCTTAAAATATACCAATAAACTCAGTTAAAGCTGGAAAAAAAAAAAAAGAAACTGATGGGGTATGTAAAGATAATGAATCGGCCTCTATATACCTAAATCTTCATACCTTCTGATTCTATAATTAAAATAAATCAAAGCTACAAAATATACATTATGAAGGTTGAAAAGATTGTTACCATTTACCATTTTCACAAAAATATCACTTTTTTAAAACGCAAAATCACCTCCCGCTCTTCATCCTTTCTTCTTTATTTATATGTGACCCAGTGTCTAAAACTAATACTCTTCTAAAGAGAAACGATACATATTTTAAACAGAAAAGTCAGTGTTGCCAAGATAACATCAAAAACTTGGGCGGTTTGCACCCCTTATTTGGCACCTCTTCCTCTAACTCCTTTTGACCCATCCACTTTCAACCCCAGATCCAGAAGATATCCATCCTTCTGCCTCTATCATCAGCTTCAGCAGTATAACAATAGCAACCAAGTTACGGCATGCTTACAAAGGATGCATTTGGAACTATGCTAATAGGAAAGTGGGAAAGCGATTTTTTTAAAGACAGTTTTGAATGAAAATATTAGCTGTTACAACTTATTCTGATATCCCATGTCTGACAGTTATTTTGATCTTATCCACAAATAGATGTGTTGAGTGGAGGCGCACGATTATTGTGGATACCAGATATTAATACTCTAATATCCTTAGTTTACAAAATGTAAAATAAATGGGGTTAGTGGTAGTTGAAGATGAAGTGCGGTGCTCATGTTCACAAAAGCAATAAATTCCAGAGCAAGAAATGAAGACCAGGTCTAATCCCAGAGACTGTTAACAAATTCCAGCCAAGAATCACAGAAACAGAGCAGCAGGATGGAACCTGGGTGGGCTCAGTGTTGTGTCAGCTGCCACCCAAAGCCAGCTTATGTCCCCTGGCAACAAAATGAGAAGGGGAATGTGGCCTTTTCTGCTTTATGTTAATCGTGACATTCTCCATGGTCTATTAAAGTAGAACCACATTTCCTCCATATAGTAAAGGCAGACATATAGTCTCTTTTATAACATTAAATGCATTAACTATATATAAACCCTTCTTTATAACTTACCTGAGAAATGAAGCAACTAAGTTAAAATAGGTATATTAGAAGAAGTCTAATTTAGTTGAAATGTCAATTCTAGTTGTAATATCAAATTAACTTTCAGGATATAAGCACTGCAATATTAATACACACTTTACATCAGAAATCTTAATGAGACAATTTAGAACAAGATTTTAGCTAATAAAATACAGTCCATAATATAAGAAACTGTCACCCCAATTTTTGAAACTATACCCCTTTAAAAATTATCAGCTACTATTCTAGAGCTTACAAGGGCAGCTATATATTAACACTCATTTATTATTACGTATTTGCTAACAGAACCCTGAATCAGAGTCCTTTAAAGCACTATGATAATTATAATATGTTAAGTATTTGCAGTTCACTCAGAAAATTCAAGGTGTGATTTGGGAAAAAAAATGGGTGAATGCTGCTGGTGAGTGCAATCCAATGGAAAGGCAGCAATCTTTCATATGAGAAGCAGCACTTCTAACAGGGTGTGACAGGTTTCAACCTGTCAAATTGGCTGTTTTAAAATGTGCAGTACGTCATGGGTCACAAACCCAGTAAATCATAGATCATCAATCCATTTTTTTTTTTGGAGTCTTGCTGCTTCAAATTCTAGCTTTTTAAAGAAATATCATCATGGGAAATGACATTTTGGTCTATAGTATGATCCTGAGAGTTCAAGATTCTCTATGGAAATCACCCAGTTCTCCTTGTGCAAATAAGGTGCATATATCAAGATCCAACATCAACTGTGATACTGTGTTTTTTGACCTCAATGGAATTGTGAGAGCTGACTCTGTACCAAGCAACACTATGGTGAACTCTGAATATTATAAGGACCTGTCTGTAGAAAACTGCCTGAAAAATGGACAGTTTCATCTCCCATTATAAAAATGTCGTGTCACACATCACTTATGGGGCAATTTCTAGCAAATAAAAACTTTATGATGTTATCTTCATCTACCTTATTCACTAGATCTGGCACTGTGTGACTTCTGGCCCTTCCACAATAAATGTTTTGAATTGATTTAGGACAACAAGGCAACCAAACAGTGCACCTAAAGACACTTATAAAGTGGCAACATGAAGGGTTAAGTGTGTTCAAAGCAAAGGTAGGGTTATTTTGAGGGGAATTAATGGCAATGTGTCATTTATTGTAACAATATTTTTAAAATGTAAACATTCACTGTATTTTGATCACACTTCATATCCTGTAACATGCTGCTTAAGTATAATCAGTCTATTCATATTAGAGCTTGTTCTTAAGCTCTATTCAAGTGTGATCATGTAGGAGTGAACAGAAGCTGAAGGAGAAAAAGCTTTTAAAAGAGCAAATCCTTCCAGTCAGGCGTCTAGGTTGTAGAAAATTTCTTTTGAGGACAGACTCTCCATTTTTAGAGAACATTATCAAATTGCTTTTTTACTTTCTTTTCTTACATTTACAGTCATATTTAGGTAACCATCAGGAAACTTTTAGAGCTTCTTCTATTTGTAGTACGGGAGAATGATGGTACTGAGGTAGAGTAAACCTACCCTTCTTTCCTTGTTTGAAATGCTGCATTTGATGGTTCTACTCTTCCTATGTGGCTGCCCTAAAGTAACACTGACACACTGTTATACTGACATTTAATCACCATATCTGCACACACACAGGCACACACTGAACACTTTGCTTCCTGCATGTTATGAGAGTAACTGACCAACTCCAGATTATACCTCCTAAAATAACCACTTATGACCAATATAGATGGTACCACTTTAATATCACCATTTCAAAACAGAGAAAACTTCCTGCAGAAGAAGCCAATGGTCTGACTGAACAAACAAAAACATGAGAGTAAACATCAGAAATCATTACATTATAGCACATCTTTGCCTAGGGGATATAAGGACCTTTAAATTCCAACTTGTACACATAAATAGTGGAGATATCCTTCACGTCCAGATTTAGGCTTGAGAATCTCAGTTTCATGAGGAAAGAGCTTATTTTGTAAGAATGAAGAAAAGTTTTTAACTTTGTTTGTTGTTTAGGGTTTCTTTTATTTATTTAGTTAGTGAGTTAGTTTAGTTTTTTGAGACAGAGTCTCACTACGTAGTTGAGACTGACCTGGAACGCACTATATAGCCCAGGCTGGTCTCAGACTCACAGCGATCCTCTGGCCTCAGCCTCCCGAGTGCTGGGATTACAGGCATGCGCCAACACGCCTGGCTTGTTTAGGGTTTCTTGAGACACGGTCTGGCTAGGTAGTTCAGACTGGCCTTGAACTCACTATGTAGCCCAGGCTGGCCTCAAACTTGGGTGTTTTCTCCTGCCTTAGCCTTCTGAGTGTTGGGATTACAGGTATGCACCATGCCCTGCCAAGTTTTGTAATTTTTAAGTATGTGAGAAGTTCATTTAAGCTCAGTGCCTAAAGTATAACTGTCTTATGCAATAACAAGTAATTGCAAGACTAATTATACACACACATACATACACACACACACACAACTTTTTTCAATTTTGGTAGAACAGGGAGAATTAAAAAAACAGAATGCTGGTTCTACCATTAAATTATTCAGTTATTAATGGAACAACTCTCTAGCACATGAAATAAGGAAAGTGAGATAAATCTCTGGCAAATTGTCTATTGTCTACATATTAAAATTATATCATTACCTAGAAGCTTCTTACTGACTTCTTTTAAGTTCAACTTTTAATGAGCTTCTGATTTCTTACCTTGGCTCCTTCTGAAGGCAAATCATGGCGCCTGTGTTTCCTCATAAGCACTGTATCAGAGCCCATTCTACCATGCCTTCCATTTACACTGGAGCTCACTGTGATTGCGGGCTTTGGAGAGCCATCCCCCAGGATGCGACATCCCACAGACGGATTGGTTCCAAACACATCCCGAGGGCACCAGGCTTCGAGAGGCATAGGCTGGTCCCTGGAAGGCACACTCTCCACATGCTGCAAGTGGCGGCTCAGTCTGTTTTCAGGTGGGATTGGGGGAGGTCGCTCAGGAGGGGGTGGTGGCTCTCTTAAGGGAGGAGGTGGTGCTGGGAGCGGCTTATCTTGTTTTCTCACCATGCAAGGAGAAGACTAAAGAAGTACAAGAGGAAATACAACACAAAACAAAACTAACTAAAAGTTGGACTGTGCATTCAGGATTCCACACCAGTATATCAATGTACTTTCTAAGCCATAATGGAGCATTATTAGATATCTACATCACCTTGTTTTTTCTTTTTATTGAGTTTATTGGTATAATCTAGGTATACAATACAGTTACATTCATTATTGGGATCCTGTACCTTTACATAACAGGACTTGATTCTCATTTTTTCCCCTTGTCCCTGCCCTCCCTTCACCCCCTCCTCCCTTCCCCATTTACAACACTTTATTTCCATTTTTTCATATTTTTTCCTCTCCCTTATTACCTTTCCCCCACCTTTCCCACTTTCTCTACACCTTTAGCCCTTTTCTTCCTATTTCACATTATTAATTATCTCATTAGGATCTTGTGTACTATTATAGTTTTTCACACCAGAGAAACGATTCAGTATTTACACGTGTGGCTTATTTATTTCACTTGAGTATATCCTCAATAAGTATCCATTTTCCTATGAATGACTCTAATATCTCATTCTTTATGGGTGAGTAGTATTCCATTTTATAGAAAAACCACATCTTCTTTATCCAGAATCCAACTGATGGGCAAATGAGCTGTTTCCCAGTTTTAGCTATTATAAACTGTGCCGCTATAAACATTGGTGTGCATACATCACTGTGGTATGGTTCTTTTAATTATTTTGGAAAGATACCCAGCAGAGGGATGGCTGGGTCAAATGGAACCTCTAGTCCCAGCTCTTTGAGGTATCTCCATATGTCGACATCATCTTTTAATAAGCTTCTTTTTACAACTAATGAAAAAGTTTAAGACAATAATGATTAATTTAACTAGTATTAATTGTAGGAGTGAACAGGTAAATGCAAATGCTGTTATATAAGCAATACAGGAAAAAAAAAACAGAAAACCGGTATTAAATAACTGACTTTAAAATATACCAATAGTTTATTTTTTGTACATTTTCTTGAATTAGTAGAGACAGAAGAAATTCATCAAAGTTGTTGCCACTGCTTCACATTTTAAAATAGAAACTAGATTTATAGTACTTCTGGAAGATTTTTTTTCATTTTTTTAAATTAAAGTATAGTAGAACAGGTATGGGGCAACTTCTATACTGAAGCTATGTACCTTTCTAGCTCATGTGTGTATGTGGCCTGGGGACTGAACCTGGGGTCTTCTCACTAAGCTAAATCCCTAGCCCTTTTTTACTGTTTTAATACAGTCTCCCTAAGTCACTGAGGGGCACAAACTAGGGCCAAATTTACAGTCCTACTGCTTAGCTTCCCAGATAACAAGCATAAACCACCATGCTGCTGAAGTAGCTTTTGATTATTATTTATATAGTTCATCTGATGAATGATTTATGCTTTTAATACTAGGGAAGATTAGAGAAAAAGGAATCTGTATGTTTATATAATTCTAAGTCACATCCTTGTAAGTATTCATGAGCTTAAAATCAAGTTAACTATAAGGTAGGAAAACCAAATACTACTAAAAATATTGTAATGCCTACTAATTTTAGACTCTGAAGCATATTACCAAATGGAATTAACTCATTTAATAAAGCAAAATATCAAATGTACCCCTATTATCAAATTTAGAAAACATAATACACATAAAACTAAAATAGACTGTGGGCTTAAATATAGTTAGAATTATGTCTTTAATATTAAACAGGAATGTAATTACTTTACAAATATTGTAATTCCTTGTAATTAATTCCTCTAGGTATAAAAAGTACATATAATTCTCCCTTGTGAGTCACCTTCAGACATGGGTGATAATTTATCACACCTTAAGCCCTTATGCAAATATACTCCCATTACATTTTTCTTGTCATGACATTATGAAAATGAGTATAAAATATCATTTGATAACAGCATGCAAATTATTTTAATGCATATAATGACCTTTTAAATTCATTTTACACAATGACTATATGTATACTGCTATTTATTTTAACAAATCAGGAGGCTACAATGTGCTCTTTTTGAAGAATTATGCAACTTCTATAAAAGTGAAGAATATGATAGCTGGATCACCATAAAAAATGATAAACCCATCAAAGTTGTTCATAAACAACTAAAACACACAAGGAATTGAGTAATGTGACTTCAAAGAACCCAAGCAAGTAATTGTCACATATGGTGTTCTGCTAATGAAACTGATTTACCTTTGGTGAACCAGTTGGGCTGCCACAGGGAGAGCGGACTATGCCTTTCTGAATCAGATCCAGGCGAGGAGGCACTGGTGGCAGGCTGAGGTGTGGGATCTGGTGTGGGTCTTGCTGGGGCTTTCTTCTCTGGGCAAGGGGAGAGGATCCTGGTGATGTGACTGGTGAGTTCTGCCGGTCAGTGCACTAGAATTAAAAAACAAGATGCTGCTGTTGTGTAGTATGTACAATGTACATCCTTCAGTTCTTAAGAAAGTGCCCAGTGTGGTTAAGGGTCTGCTACTGTATATTTATGGAAACAAACAAACAAAAAAACTGGAGCTCACATTATCCCTCAAGGACAGGATTATGAAAAGATCGATAGATAGACATTCTGCAAGAAGCTGGTCTTACTTATCTATATTATAAAATTTTCTCAAAACACTGCACATTCTAAAACTTACAAATTGCTTTGTTCTATATGAAATATGTATCTAGTGCATACTATTTTTTTAAACCAATTAAGTCAGAATTTTAAAAATAACTATATTTAGGATTTTTCTTAATCTTCAGATGGAAAATAAATCCTCAAGTTCAGTGTTTTTCCTTGAAAACAATTAAGTCTAAGAAAGAATGTAATTGTGCTAAAAACTGACATGTTTCTATGCTACTGTTTTTCCATCCTGTCTGGTAGATAAAATAACATCAAAAAGCTAGTATAAAGAACTGTGATTTATGTATATGCAACACTCCCCAATTTGGAAGTTTGGGTTCATGTACGTGTTGTAACATACATAACCTGATTGCTATTTGGTATAAAAGCCTCACTAGGACAAATGACATTCTGTTCTGAAATACCAGCCAGTTTCCATTTCAAGGTTAAGTTATTAGCTCTTTGAAGATTAAGCTTGGTTTTTACAACTACTACATTAATCTATCATACTTTGATCGCTTGATCTTAAAGTCATTGCCTCCTAATGTTACTCATCCTTATAAAAAGTAGTTGATGTTATGATAATTTAATTTGAATTCCAGCAACACTGTCAAATATTTAGCCATTGTCTTTAAATGAGATGCACTAACCTGTGTTCACATCTATATTGCTATGTTAATATATTTTTTAATTAGCTAAAATTGGTAATTTATAAAGATTTTTTTTAACCTGTTTCTTTTGTGCTCCAGGTTTGCACCTATGGTAATAAATTCATTTTAGTCATCACCTTCTCTTAGTTTCCTCTTAGCTCTCACAATTTCTTACATACTCCTTATTTCTTATAACCACGTCAGTTTTGGAATTTGGGGGAGATAAGTCTATAAAATGTCTCCTTATGGGCATTTGTGTGATACTTCTCTATGTTTACACTGGAGCTGCAAATTTTTTGGAAGAGGAACACAAGAGTAAACTGCTCTAGGGCCAGGGATTTAGCCCAGTGGTCTGGTGCCTGCCTTGCAAACACAGGGACACAAGTTTGATACCCGGTACCAAAAAACAAAAAAAAAAAGAGTAAACTGCTCTTTAGACCACATTATAGGAAGCATCCACTTTATGAACATGACTTATCACTGGTGATGTTGACACTGATCATCGGCCTGGGGTGTTATTATTAGGTTTCTTTACTGTCAAGTTTCTTTTTCTCTCCCTTTGCATGGTATAATCTTTATAATATCACTGTATAAAACCATATTTAAGAAGTGATGAGTTACACTCCCCCTTGTAAAGGCTTTTAAAAATGTTTGTACTATGAGATCTATCTATCTATCTATCTATGTATCTATCATAGTCAAAGAGGTATCTGTCTGTCCATATATCTTGCAGCACTATTCACAATATCTAGGACAAGAAATCAACTAAAGTGTCTATCGACAAATGAATGGTAAAGAAAATGGTATAAATACAAAATGGAATATTATTCAGCCATGATATATAATGCAATCCTTTCATGAGTCTCAACATGCATAGGACATTAAACAAAATAATGGACACAAAAAAGACATAACCTGTATATTCCTAATCCATAAAGAAGTTTATAAAAGTTGACTTCACATAAAGTAGAACATAGAACAGTGGTTGTTAGAAGCTAGGAAGGGTATTGGGAACAGAAAGTTTAGGTAATGGGTACCAAGATACAGTTAATAAAAGGAATTAGTTCTAGGGTTCCGAAGCGTAGCAGGGTAAGAAAGTCTACAATAATTATATATTCCAGAATAACTAAAAGAGAGTAATTCCAGGTTTGCCAACAAACAGAAATTACAAATGTCTGAGGATATGGAACTACTAATTACCTTGATTTGATAATTGCATATTGAATAAATGTATTGAAGTATGTACAAATATTATCAATTGATTTTAAAAGAAAATGAATAAATTTCAGTGGCCAAACAGAGGCTTCTACCTCAAACATGCCTCAAAAATGCTTCAATTGGTGTCAAATTACTTGAAGTAGTTCAATAAAATCAGACACAATTTTACACAATTTTAAGAATCATCTCTTAGTAATCTCATGATTCTCCTTCATCTAGCTCCTAGCTTGCTATGATAAGTTTAAAACACTTATTATTGTTACCAAACTGGAAAAGTTGAGTCTCAAGTCCTAAACTGTTTTAACACAAGCCAATCATTAACAAATTACAATTCTATCCAAAACGTTGCAGGGTGTCATAGTCATAAATGTGAACCTTCTGGAGCTACGTCAGTGCCCAAACTGTCACAGACAGAAGAGAAAGGCTTTGTGATGTGAAATCAGTTGCATCACAGAGTGCAGCACTACAGACTAGGAAGTGTCACAGGTTATCTGCCTGCCTCTCCACCACTCCCAATAAAACACACTACATACACTAAGAACTAGCAGGACTGTTACTTACAAAAAATGCTCTGTTGATCTGTCTACTCTCCTTTATAAAGAAATAAAAAAGCAAATCTCTTCCTAAGTAAATAGCCCAACTGTTTTTATATTACCAAAGAATGCACAGGACTACTCTTTGTTACTTGCAGAGATACCTCAAATTGCAAAGAGTGCTTAACAGGACCTAAACTCTTCCAAGCAGTTTTCTTTGTATTTTTCTACTCTCCTCATTATCTGAAGCAGGACACAGAATTCTGACAGAGCCAATAGCTCGCACCACCATTAAAGCTTCACGTTTGCCCCACACTGGATCAATTACTCATATTTAAGCAGTTACTATATTCAATATTATACTGAAAGTATATAATAACAACAGTTATCCTAACCAATGAGTGTATCAATGTAATAACCTTGAACTTTTGGGCACTCAAACCAGAAGATGCTCTGAAACTCTGCGAATGTACTTGGAAAACAGATTTTCCTTAGCACAATTCATACTGTCTTCAAAAGGTGATTATACCTCCTGAAAAACAAAGTAATTTTCAACAATTACAGTGTCTTTAAGTTGGCTTAGTTAGAATTTTATGAAAGGAATACTTAGGTAAAGAACAAAAATTATCTTTATTGATAAATGGAATAAATGCAGCATCATTTATTAATCTCCCTGAGTTCTAAATTATAGTAAAATACCCATGCAAGTGTATTTACCAATGTCCTTTTGAAGGAAAGCTCAGCATTATTTGCTGAGCCTTTTGCTATTCTTAAAAACAACTCTATAGTTAAGAATATAAAACCTGTGCGTTGACTTTTATTATTGGTAAAATTGAAACACCAAGAAAATTTGTAAACATTATTAGCAGACAATTTTCACATAACAGGTCATTTGTAACAGCTGCATAACCACAAATTACATCTTTCTGTACTATTTGAAAAATTTAAAGAGAAAGGAAACCACATACAATGTCAAACAAGCCAGCCCATATAATTAAGTGCTTATGATATAGGGCATACGATATATGGACCTCAAAATAATATAAGGGAAATATAGCTCCCAACCTGCCAGATGTTGTAAACACTGAGTCATGTTCTTGAAAATCAAAGAATGAATTCTAGGAACAATGAAGGTTAAGTGTAGGAAGAATTTATTTAGAGGAAGATAGCTTCTGTCTAAGAGACAGAAGGGGATCCAGAAAGGGGGTTGCTGGCCCATCCTGCTTCTCAAGGGTGTTTTACTGAGCAAAGCCAGGAGTTGAGGTAAGTTCAAGGTGGGACAAAACTACAGTCAACTAATAAGATTACAAATCACTTAGGTAATACTGATCTAATGGGAAATCACAAGTAAGTATGAGGTGGAACAGAATTATGGTCAACCAATAACATTATAACAAGCATAGTTGCTTAGGTAATATTGATTAAATGGGGATCAAATGGGGAAGCAAGTCACACAGCAAGCATATATGGAAGGAACAAGGTTTTTCCCAGAAGGAAAGGGCCAGGGAAGTTTTGGTCCCCACCCGAGGTGATTGATGCCTATTCATAATATCAACCACTGTTGTTCATCCCTGGGGAAGAATGTGAATGTAGTTGGTCCTCTTTTTCTTGAAGCCTTGCCTTCAGTGAATGTGCCTCTGGCCACAATTGTCTTCTGTGCTGAGGGCCCATCCCTGTCTAACTGCCTATATTTATAACTAATTTAGCTGTCTATAATAGTAGAATATTAAAAATTCATCACATCAAGATTTACCAGATCTCTTTAAAGAAAAGAATGAAAGTCTGACCATTTTTCTTCCAAAGTTAAAAAAGGAACAAAGATAGAAACCATTTCTTCTTTACTTGGATTTTTATTGGCATTTTTAAAGGAGTTTGATTCTAGAGTAAGAGCATTTTCCTGATGCAAGCTGTCTCAAAGGAATGCTAACAAGAGAGAGGATGCTGCAACTTACCTTGCTATCACCCCTAAAGTGCCTCCATAATCAGCTACCTTCCTCAGTCCTCATGCCTCCTCCTTTCATTGCTCTTACCTCCACCCTAAAGTCATTCAGGCCAACAGGATAATGGCATTTGTTAGACAAAAACAACCACTACAAGGAACATGGAACTAATCTCTTGGCTCAATTTTCAATTCTAAGACTGAAATAGTCTAATTTGACCACTAATGATTTGTCCAGTGTTCCTTTCAAGCACTATCATCTCCATTCTGTATAAAAATGCAGACTTAATGCACAAGTATGCAACACACAGAGAAGAAAAGTAGAAAAGCATTCAATTAAATTTTAACAACTCAATTTTTGATACATATTATACACTCATGATTGGAATGTGAATTTTATGGTGTGCTAACTACCAAACTAATGTCCAATCTCA